GTCAATATTGGGCATTTTGATAATTTTACACATTTTTATAATTTGAACTAATATTTTTCTTGTACTCATACTAATAGAGGAAAATTTCACTCAGTTGGGTGTGGACAGAAACTCATACAAAATTGAGTGAAATTGAGTATCTTAAAAATATACTTAATACAACATTTCAAAATAATTAAAGATTCCAAATATTGTCAGATATTAGTCATTTGTTGATCCCCTTGATGGTTCTAACAATCTCCTGGAAAGTTGCTTTTCCCTTATCCATTTATTTAAATTAGGATCCCGCTGTTCTACAAATTTGACCACTGTGGTAGAGACTTCCAGGAATTTTGCTAAAAAATAACCATCGACGCTGAAATCAAGTTTCGAATAACAGATATAACTTGGAACTAATATTAAGTAACTTAATTCATTAATGTTACCTTTTTGATAATGAATGCACTGTAAAAAAATCATTTGAACTAAAACTGATTACTTTCACTTAAATATCTCATTAAATAAATTCTTCAGATAAACTCGAATTTGGTGCACTTGTAGCTAAATCGGAATAAACATCCTCCTTACTGCGTGACTATGGTTGTCGTGCGTTGTCTTTGTCTGTTCCCATCGTCCCCGTTAGATCATCTAGTGGCGTAGTGTATGGCATGCAGTGGCTTAATTACAATAATTCAAAACAATAATATTTTGAGTCTTGATTGGTTAAATAAATGGATAGTTAGGGTTATGGCAATCTATTCGTCCGATCAGTTAACTAATTCCTCTAATCGAGACCTAAAAATATTGTCTCTAAAACAGATCTATGTAGAAACCACTGTGGCAGCTTAGTAGTATTTAAATTAAAATTTAAAGATATTATGCAAAACCACTCCAGATATTAATGAAATGGAAGCAGCAAATTTTAATCCAAGAAACATTTATTTTTGCAGACGATGCAATTGTGATACATTTTTATAAGTAGCAGGATCTTGTAACTTATGGCAAAGTTAGATCACAAAAAATAAGAGCTTTTATATAACAAAATAATAGGGAACTGAGAAAAGCAATAAATAATAATACATAAATAATTAAAATGGAACAAAAAGAAAGTCTTGATTAAAAGTATAAGTACGTAAAATTATTTCAGGAGTTATTGGATCCTTTTTATAATTTTAACGACTTAATTTTTGAGATACAGGACATTTTTGAAAATGTTACGTTTCGTAAATATTATTTCAATCAATGAGAAAGGTATTGATCGAAATATTTTTTACAGCAATGATGACAACATTGTATTATTATAAGATAATAAATTTCAAAACTATAAAAGATTTGAATTAAATTGTATATATTTACAAATAATATAAATTCTAAGAAAAATTATAGATTATAGCAAATATTTCACATAGTTTAACGAAAGTATATACATTTGAATAGAATAAAATAACATTTACAAATAATTCCATTTAAAACTATCTGTTAATTTACTAACTATCTTTTTTTTTTTCAGTGTATGAACTTTTCTTCATAAAATGATGAAATGATTCCTGAAATATGTTTACGAAATTCGGTTATAAATAAGATACAAAATTTACTCTATTTAAATCTAATTGTAAATACTGTTATTCTTTCATTGCTTATTTGTCACAACTACACCAGTCGTGTGTAGAAAACATTTTTTGTTTACCAGATGGCAGAGCATTTACCCCATCAACTCTCTTTTATTTCTTCAACATCTGTTGCAATACCTATACTCCATTAAGAATTTTGGCAATATACCGAACAATTGCTTTCATTAAATAAAATATGTCGTATACGAGGAAGCGGCGGAAATAATAAGTAGATATAAGTAAAAGGAAAGGTTTTAATGGGGACACATTGCTACGAAAAATATAAATTTATAGAAGTGCTTTTTACGTCTGTCTATTATTGAAGATGGGCGAAAGTGAAATTATCCAAGTATCTTGGTGTGACTAAGGATTGGGTGGACTTGAATTAATGTGATTTATGAACAGCGAATATAAGGAATTAGTAATTTCCTTACTATTTTAATTTACATATGTTCCGACTTCTGTAGGCAGATAATTAATTAAAGAATATACAATATTATTTCACCGCTCGCTACCTACATATGCCGAAAAATATGTACAAAGGATGTTCTCCGTCAAGAAAAAAAAAAGATAATACATTAGAAGAGTTATTATAGTTCAATGAAATAAAAAAGTAAAATTGTTTCTTTTAATACTCCAGGTGTTGTATTAATCTTACATTGTACTTATTGAATGAGCTCATAAATTACTCGGTTGATTTTTCATGCTAACAATTTTGCCAAGAATGCGCGCATATGTCGAAATATTAGAAAATATTTCATAAAAATAAAATGCTCTACTAGTTACTCTTGTTTCTTTATTTTGTGCTAGTAGCTCAAGAAATCATTATAATAGTAATATTTTAACGTATAAATCATTCTCTTTGAAGTCCTGATTTTTAACAACTAATATTAAAGCCACCGAAACAATTTAACAAAATATATTTAAACATTAGCACATTTATTCCTATTCTACTGAGTTTCGTACTCGAATTTCGTATGTAGGTTGTAAGAAATATTCCAGTTTTTGTATTTAATGCAACAAATTCTGTATGCAATGCAATTTAAGTACATAATAACAAATGAACAAAGCCTTGTTGCACAATTATCGAACGTTTTAATTTCGTCGTATAATTAATTATATCTAAATTATAAACTGAAGGCAATACCTTTTCATACCATTTAATTGGTACAGATTTAAAAAACTCTTTTCTACTCTTGTTGTTTCTTAAGAGCGACTGTAAAAAAACCACACGTTCGTTTGCCTGTCGTTGTTGTTTGTTTAATACACATCTTTTATATAAGATTATTATAATTTAATATGTACGGGGTGTTAAATTATTTATAGCCTCAAACGGGACTGATGGTGTTATTCTGTAAATTTATTACAGTGCTGTAAATTTAGGTATAACGATAAAAAATATCACAAGACGGACATTTATGTTTGGTTTTCTTTGACATTTTAAGTAAATCTGATTAATACTTTCTGCTTATTATTAATTTACTATTTACATTTATTAAAAAAAAAATTGTTAAAGTTGAAGATCATCGCTTACAGGGGCTGTAACATGCTACGGGATAGTACCACGTATATAGGATTCATTATTGGGCCACAAATATTCTTTTTCAAAATTTCTGAAACGAGAGTTATGACTATATAATAACTCCGGAATCGGTATATGTCTGGTGGGCTCAACAAACGAATGATCTTAGCCGCTTACTTGATATTGTTGATGTAATTCAATGCTTGTCGGAGCAGTAGTTGTCTGCTGCAATATCACCAGTTATCATGAAGATAAGATGATGAATCCTAAATACTTATCGAAGTTGGCAATGGCAAATATAATAAAAAAACTACTGGAAATAATTTTTTAGATTTCATTAATACAAAAGATATAGAATGTTTCGATAAATAATTATTAGGGTGGCCCAAACAAAAACGAATATTTTTTTTCGTGTCTCTTGTGAAAATATGTTAGTTTATCATGTTTTAATAGCCACCTCAAAAAATCAGCCCAAAAAAATTTTTTAGAGGTTCAAGATTTTTAAAAATTTCCAAAATCGTCAAAAATTGATTTTTTTTTTAAAAATTTTTTTCTCGTTATTTTATCATTTTCTATATTGAAAAAAATCTCGATTCTGAAAATTTAAAATCGATATTTTAATTTCTAAAGGTCACTCATAATAATTTTAACTTTCAAAGTAGTGTACCTGTTTTCGAGCGACCTCTAAAAATAAATATCAACAAACTAATATTTTTTTTATTGAATTTGATAAACAAAAAAAAAATAAAAATAAATCACGAGACACTTAAATTTTAAAAAATTAAAAAATGATAAATATTTGGTACTTACTGTGCGGTAGTAAATTTTGCTTGGAGAAATTTTTTAAGTGTCTCGTGATTTATTTCTATTCTTTTGTTCGTCAAATTCAAATAAAAAAATTATTAGTTCGTTGATATTTATTTTTAGAGGTTGCCCGAAAACATTTTAGGTACACTACTTTTAAAGATAAAATAATAATTATGAGTGACCTTTAGAAATTAAAATATCGATTTGAAATATTCAGAATCGAGATTTTGTTCGACCTAGAATATGATAAAATAACGAGAAAAAATTAAAAAAAAATCAATTTTTGACGATTTTGCAAATTTTTATAAATCTTGAGCGACCTCTAAAAAAATTTTTTTTCAACTGACTTAAAACATGATTAACATATTTTCACAAGAGACACGAAGAAACAAATTCGGTTTTTTTGGGCTAATAATTACATTTAAATTCGTGGGAAATCAATTAATGTCGTGACAATCCTCAGTTCAGATATTCTCTAAAAAAATTTAGTGTTCATATGACTATTTAGTCCAATTTAAGATCATAAATTATTTTCCCCATAGCAAGGCCATTTCTACTAATTTATATAATTTTTTTATATATGTATAGTGTATAAATATTTTAGAACAAAATTGCAAAATTAATTGTTTTGAGTATCAGGCTAGAGTTTTAAATAAATAATTTATAATAATAATTTTTATTTATATTTTACAATAAAACAAGTGAAATATTTATTTATGTAATATGTTTCACATCACGTTTGTTTTCATTTTGCGAATTGTAACATTTAATTTATATTAAATTAGCTATTTTGGTGATTTTATACATAACTATAAGAATTTTCAATGTTACTTTTTACGAATTGTTAATTGTTTTAAGTGTCAATAAAAAAATATTTTAAGGCGTATTTAGAAATTAGTTTATTTAAAAACTCGATATGATTAAAAAGTTATTTGTATTAATTTTTCTTTCTGATATTAAATATAAATTAATGATAGTGTCTGATGCATGGATTAATCATTTTTTTTTATGAAAAATTGATACGTATTGGAGGAAACGAGAAATTAATGAGAAATAATAATTTGAGCTAATAATAATCTTACCTCCGCCTAAGGTCGTAACTGTGTGCTGGTGCTTGTGCGACGTCCCGTGATTCATGGCATACTTTATTGGCTTGAAATGGAAAAACGACGGCGAGTACCCTGATGCTGCCCTACTCAGCGAACTAAAACGCTCCTCACGATCCTCCACATAGACTCCTTCCTTTCCCATCGCGGCCAATTGTCTCCCTTTGGGCATGAACATGATTAAAAACACCATAACCGAAGAAATGACCAGCCCGAAGGCGATGCAGGCGTCTCTGTGCCTTTCGTTTATGATCAGACCGCTCGTGGTCCAGACCAACCACGTGGGAATGCTGCATCCCACCGAAAGTCCGATGTAAGTGGCCTCTCGGTAATTATCCCGAATTCCGCGAGACTTTACGGCCAGCACCGTCACAAACAGGATCAGGAATATCACGTAGATCAGGGACAGGAGGATGTCGATGTAAGGGGTGCGGCACAGGGCTACGACGGTGGGGCTGGCTATGTCCTCGGCGGTAACGAGAAGTTTGTGTTTGTTCTGAGTAACGGCGTTCTCAATGGTGATGTTGTCCACCGCGGGCGGGCTGGTGAGCAACCACTGCACCCCTATGGCTACTTGAATTAAAATAGCGAATAGTAGCAAGAGTCCTTGGTAGGGCGCGGGCAGATACACGCCCCCATTTAAACTAATTAAAAATACGCACTTCACTAACAGGGAAGCGAAAACTATCGCATAAGCTACCCCCGTGCCGAAACGTACGACGGCACAGGTGAGTTGCGTCGGCGACGCTGCCAGGACGGCGGCCAACCCCGCGCAGGAGAACAACCCCAGGAGCAGCATCTGTCCTAGAAATAAATGGCGACGGCTAGGGGTGGTCCTCCAGGCCTTGCACAGTACGAACACTTCGAAACACGCTATCAGAAGCATGGTGATAGCCGATAGCGCGAGCACCGGTATCACCCAGACCTCGTTCCGAAACACTCCTGCTAGTTTCTCAGTCTCCAAAGGGCACCCCGCGCACGCCGTCTTCGTGATGTGACTCGCGACCGTACTGGGGGTTGAACTAGTTGGCACCAGGAAGAATTCCGTGCTCATCTCCAATCGCCTCTCCAAAGCGACGGTGGAATTTAAATTACCTACTACACTAATTATACCACTATCGTCACTAGTCCTATCTCCGAAAACCACCGTTTCCAGCCCTGCAGCGTCCATGGCGGCTTCCTGAGGGGGTCCTCGGTCCAGGTCCCCGGAGCGGGCTTGGCGATCTTCAGCCGTGAGTGACAGTGCAATGCATGTCGTAACCGTGGCTAGCAGGACGGCGGTTCGAGCCATACTGACTGGCACAGTCCACCTCTTCACATCTGCAACTTCATCTCATTAACTAGCGACGAGCTATCGAGCAGGTACAATTTGACTGTGTCCCCAGTGGAGCATTTAGGTGGACAGCTATCTAAACGGTACATAATATCCATAAGAAGCCGTAAATATTCTGTTTCAGCAGTTGACACTGTATATGACGGTTTGTGAAAAATGTCGTGTTAAAATGATCGGGTCAATAAGATTTATGAAGCTATTCCAGTTTGTGTATCGACTAGAATATGTTTAATAAAATTAATTTCAGTAGAAATCCACCTTACAGGAAAGCAGTTGCTTTCATTAACGAATTTCAACACATAAATCATTTAATAGAATAAGTAAATTGTGCATATAAGCTGCTCACAAAAATTAAAGGACAAAAAGATTCCTAAATTTTGTCGAGATTTTCAAAAGGCTGTAACTTGGTCGCAGAGCAATGAAAAAAGCAAATTGAAACTTGAACTTTCTTTAGGAAATCATTAAGAAATCCAGCGGAAGAAAAATATTTGCTTTACCTTTTCAATAGGGCTTCAATAATTTTTTTGCCAATCCCACTTGTCAGCTCTTTTAGTTTGATTTTTCCTCTTTAATTTGATGTATCCTAGAGCTTTGTACGACGTTTTGTTACTGAGTTATCGTCGTTCAAATAAAAAATTACCTTTTTGGCTTTGATAGAATTACTCGGGAACTAATGACCGTATAAGAAATCTAAGCAGGGTTTTGAAAACTTCAAAGTATTCTCTATTAGATACTCTCATCATTTTACGATAAAAAAATACTTGCACGAAACTAGCTTCAAAAAAGGTCAAACATTACTTATTTAAAGATTTTTCTTTCAGTGTCATGCGACTGACTGAATTTGTCACTTTTGCCAATTAAAGGATAAAGTTTGCATAGTCCAGTTAAATTGGCCTTTAAATCGCAATTTCGTCAACTTACCTGAATTTTTTATATAAGTTAGTTTGAGGTATGCAATAAGTGACAGTAATTTTTTTTCAACCCCAGGCCAGAGGTGATAAAAGATAAAATGAAGGGTTTTTTCTAGATAACTCAAAAGGGCTAAGAGCTAGAAAAAATAATTTTCTTATAAAAGTTGTAGGGCCTAAAATTCTACATAAAAATGTTCTATTGACTTTTTCTTGCACTATTAAAACTAACAGAGTTAGGGTGGTTAGAAGTTAAAAAATGATTTCAGAAATTAAAAAAAATCATAAGCAGAAAAATTTATGAATTTTATAATTTTTTTTTCAATCTACTCTAAAAATTGTAAACTTTCTTTTCAGAGAAACAGATATATTTTTTAATTTTTAATGAAAAATTCAATTTTTAATCGTAATTTTTATGATTTAAAACTAAACAATTTTTTCTGTCATTGATTATTTAAAATAATGAAAAGTTGCTTTCTTTGTTTTACGACAAAGATAAAAAATCGCGTTAGATTTGTGAAATTGTTATAACTTTTTTATTAAAAATTAAAAAATATATCCATTTCTCTGAAAAAATAGTTTACATTTTAAAGTAGATTTAAAAAAATATATAAAATTCATTCATTTTTCTGCTTGTTATGATTTCTCAAATATCTGAAATCGTCCCTTAACTTCTAGTCTCTCTAACTTTGTTAATTTCAATAGTACAAAAAAATCAATGAATCATTTTTATGTCGAATTTTATGCTCCACAACTTTTATAAGAAACTGTTTTTCTAGCTCTTTTGAGTTATCTTGGAAAACCCCTTTATTTTATCTTTTTTCACCCCTGACCGGGGGGGAAAAAAATTACTGTCACTCATTGTTATTATATACCTCAAACTAACATATCAGAAATTCGGGCAAGTTGACCAAATTTGCGATTTAAAGGTCCATTTAATTGGACTATATCTTTTATTCATTTTTTAAATTGAAAATGTTTTTTCGGAAAACATCCATATTCTTTTCTATCAAAAATGTTACGTATTTATAGAAAAAAAATGTATGAAATTTCATTAAATTTCGCTGCTTTGAATATTTAAAAATGTGTTATGAGCAATTTCAATTTAAACACACTGTATCTCGGAAAACTAAGCAATTCCAAATCCATGTTCATTGGAATTTATTTTCTATGTAACCATGTAAGTTTAATTTATGCAAATCAGGATACCATCATACGATTTGTGGACAATAATCCTTAAATTGGAGAATAAAAAAACCCAACATTGCTCAATTCGTACTGTCAACTAAAAAATCCCTAAATATTAGCGTCACCATTATTAATGATTCGTTTATAATGAACAATGACAAACCGTCGCGTCTAAGCTCGAGATAATGCGATCGCTGATTGATTCAATAGAATCTCGTGAAAAATTACACCAATCACAGGAGGCGAAACAGAATTTTGTGTTTTATTATTTATTAGTACTTAATTTGTTAATTTATTACTACTTATTATTTTAATAATCTTTAATTTTACCAAAATTTAATTGCCAAGGAAATAGTATCAATTATTACTTGCATCCACAGAAAAGAATATAGTACATATTTATAAATATATTTGAAGCTGTTGAATACTTGAATAGTAACATATTTAATTATTTCGGTATTGTTTGAATTGGAAGATGTTATCTGTTAAGAAATATTGTTATAATACATATACAGAGTGCCTCATAATTCGTGTCTAATAATTTACCTGACTAATAATAAAAACGATTTGGAAACCAGTGAACAGCGAACAATAGGTGTCCATAATATTTTGTGAATCATATTGATCAAATATATTATTTTCTTACTATAAGATCTAAATTCTTCCAAGTGTAAGATCCTTTTAAAAATTGAAATGGTGACAGTTATTAGATTATCAAATTTTATTCCGCATTATCGATAATTCCTTAATTTTATCACAGTTTCTCTGCATCTGTCGTTTGTATGCCGTCAAAATACAAGTGTAATTTATATACATTTTCAGCTAAATCTTAGATAAGACTTCTGTTAGTCTTTAAATGTAAATCATTAAAGATACAACGTCACTGATAGTTCTGTAACTTTTAATTCTTGTCAAGAACTACATTATTTTAATTAGGAGACCTATTTTACAATGCATGGATATGCAAAAAGTGACATTATCTCTTGCACTTAAACTTGTCGAGGATTATATTCCTTGATTAAATTCATGCCACGAAGAAAAAAAAAACGTTTATTATTTAGAGCAGTTAATAAACAAAAACCTAAAGCACACCTGAGCACGGTACACAAAGTTGCCGACACTGAATACAATGTAGTAGGTAGGTATATGGTCGAGGTAGTTACCGCGGTATGATATCCTTCGTTTTGCATACAGATAGTCAATTTCAACACTACTTTCCTTTCATAAACAGTAACGGCAAACTGAGTAAATGTCACCAAGCTTATTTATTTTACGAGATATACCAAGTATATAAAAATCAAACAATATCGAATACTGCAAATATAAATACTACGAATAATTAACCTACAGATTAAACAGATATGAATAAAATTTACAACAGATTATTGTATTGTACCTCGCTATATTTCTCTCTGTTGCATTATTCTACAGACCGCATTTCTAGGTATAACAATCTCTTGACCACATAATTCTTATTAAGTGTAACTAGTAACCAGTTTTAAGATAATTAAAAAAGGAATGATTTTGTTATAAATCTAAAACTGATTATATTGCGGAAAACAACTAGTTTGCGGTCTAATGCCCCGACCTGTGAAAGAGCGAGCCGCACCGATATATGTCTGTTGGGTTTGGCTGACGAAAGATCCTATCTGTTTACTAGATATTGTGGGTATAATTCAATGCTGATCTGTGCATTAGTCCAGTGATGTGGCATTGTCCAATCTCACCTATATCACATTACTTACATATTTTTATTTTATAATTTAGTTTTAAAAAATAATAAAGTAGTTATTATGTCTATGGGTATCATAATAAAAAGAGACAGTTGCCAGAAACAAGTTCCAACAGCACGTACTGGCGTAGTGCATTAGGAAAAAATGTGTTTGATTTGTGAATTCATATAAAATATTAATGGCCGGTTTTTCCAGTTGACCGATTTCAAGAAAACCATGCAATCATACTGAAATTCATTAGAAGATATTACTACACTCTCATAGTTTTTAAGAGAAAGCAATACAGATATACAAAAATTAGGTAAGACTGGTTGCGGATTTTCATCACAGTCTGTTCTTTATTTCCAGGATAGGAAATATTAGCAAAAGTCTAGTTTTATTGTTAATTGGTTTACACCATTGTTATTACACATAACTGTTTTTGTATTTGATGTTGGTGAACATTCTCGCTAGATATTTATACCTACAAGAAAACACTTATATTAAGTCAATTCAACTATATTTTCAATTAAGTTTTGTTTAAAAAATGTGAATTTTGCTCTTATTTTTGTAAATATATGACTTGCAACATATGAGTGGGGCTGTCAGAGAGAGCCGCAATTAAATGGCGTGCCAAGCGGGTTAACCGAGACATGTGCGAGCCGCTGCGTCAGAATCTATTTCAGGTTGATGTCACGTTTTTATACTGTTGCCTTTGGGTGAGTTTTCAATACATTATTATAAATTGTATTAATTTATTGTTTGTTTTCTACGTAATTTATTTTATTACGCTTTACATGATGCGTACGGCTATGTCCCGGGGCAATATAACCTCGAAACCTCAGGTCAAGTCTAAACCGATGATGTCTCAACAACCAAGTAGTTATAGAGTGTGTTTTAAATGAAGTAGCAAAAATGGTACCAGTGAATGTAGAACCAAAAATAAGAGGATTGAAGTAAAAATATCTTATACGAAAGTTGCACCCCTGAGGCGATATAAAAGAGGGGATTGAAATTCACATTTTAATTTTTTTTTAACATGAGGAATGCTAGAGACACGAAACTTGGTATGAGCATCCTACTAATAAAGAGACTACTTCAATATTTGTGCGGTCATTGGCGTATTTTATAAAGGAATAAAAAAATTAGA